GCAGGCTTGGGGACCCTCTGACTTCCGCTCCATACTGCCAGCAGATCAAGAAAGCCTTCTTGGCACTGGTGGCCAATGGGGTGCGTGCCGCCCCGCTCTGGGACAGCAAGACGCAGAGCTTTGTGGGTGAGTGCCAGCAGCACCGCCTGGCCCCTTTCCCTGCCTGGCAGTGAGGGGTGCGGGCAGTGCTGCCAGCCCCAGGTGTCTCCGCAGGGATGCTCACCATCACTGACTTCATCAACATCCTCCACCGCTACTACCGCTCGCCCCTGGTGAGTGTGGTGGTGTGGGCATGGGGGTTGGGCTGAGCATAGGGCAGGAAGGGGCTGTCCCTACCTCTCCTGGTCCCCTCTTCCCTCTCCTGCTTCCCTTTTCATCACTAGACCGTGACCAGGGGATGCTCTGGGCCAGCCCAGCATCCGCTTAGTGCCCCTCTGCTGGGCACCCAAGGTGTGATCACTGTGCTTAGGACAATGGGGTGGGATGCCATGGGAAGGGGACGGTGGCCCAGAGTCCCCTCAGTCCCCTGTGAGGCCACCATGGCCAAGGCATCTCCCTGCCCTCAGGTTCAAATCTACGAGGTGGAGGAGCACAAGATTGAGACCTGGAGAGGTAAAAAGCAGGCAGGGTGGCTGGGCTGGGGATGTGCTAGGCTTAGAGGTGGGCTTTGGGGTGTAGGGCTGCGTGGGGTTTCTGGAGGACCCCCTCTCCCACCTCTCTCCTTTGGCAGAGGTATACCTGCAGGGCTCCTTCAAGCCACTGGTCTACATCTCCCCAAGTAATAGGTGAGTGCCTGCCTGCTGGAGGAGAGCATGTCCCATGGGGGATGTGCCTGGGATGCAGCCCTGTCCCTTCTGTGGTGTACCTGTCACCCGCAGCCTCTTTGATGCCGTCTACTCCCTGATCAAGCACAAGATCCACCGCCTGCCTGTCATTGAGCCCATCTCGGGCAACGTCCTGCACATCCTGACACACAAGCGCATCCTCAAGTTCCTCCACATCTTCGTGAGTAGCGGGGCTCCGTGTACACACACAGAGCGGGGGTGTAGGGGCACAAGCAAGGGTGTTGGGGCACATGTAGGTGCCAGCCCAGCCCTGCCCTGCGCCACCGCAGGGCTCCACCATCCCCAAGCCTCGCTTCCTGAAGAAAACGGTGCAGGAGCTGTGCATTGGCACATTCCGCGATGTAGCCGTTGTGCCTGAGTCTGCCCCCATCTACACTGCCCTGGAGATCTTTGTGGACCGCCGCGTCTCTGCTCTGCCCGTCATCAACGATGCTGGTACGTGGGGAGGGGACCCCACCTCTGCCGACAGCTTTGGCCTCATGCCCGTGCAACCCCCTACTTTGGGGTGCAGAGGGGGAATGGTGGGAGGTGTCCAGGGCCCCCTACCCAGCGCCTGTGCTGTCTCTCCTTGCAGGGCAAGTGGTTGGCCTCTACTCCCGGTTCGACGTCATTGTGAGTACCTGTGTGTTTGCATGCCTGGGCAGGAGCGCAGCCTCTCACACAGCACTGGTGGGGTGCTCACGTGTGTCCGTGCAAACCCGTCCCATGTGCACCAATGCATGTCCTGGTGCAGATCTGCCCTGTGCATCCCCAGGGCTTGGTGTCCCCCTCAGTGCCAGTACAGTGGGATGCGAGGACACATTGAGGTGCTGAGCGGGGCCACCTCTCCTGCAGCACCTGGCAGCCCAGAAGACCTACAACAACCTGGACATCAGCGTGCGGGAGGCGCTGCGGCAGCGCACTGTCTGCCTGGAGGGGGTCCTCACCTGCTACCCCCACGAAACCATGGAGGACATCATTGACCGCTTTGCCAAGGAGCAGGTGAGCGGCTGTGACACCACGTGCCAGCGCCACCTCCCCCTGCCCGCTGCCCAACCTGCCTGAGATGCTCTGCCTGCGCCCACAGGTCCATCGCCTGGTTCTGGTGGATGAGAACCAGTACCCGCGGGGCATCGTCTCCCTCTCCGACGTCCTCCAGGCCCTTGTGCTCACTCCCGCAGGTATCGATGCTCTTAACTCTTAGCCCGCGACGCTCCATCTTTCTTCACTTGCACCCTCCATTTCTCTCCACTTCAGGTAGGCGCCGTCCCCCGCCACTGCGCGCCTGGCCCCTCCTGCACTTCGTCACCTCCCCTGTCAAACTGGCCCTGGGGAACTGAAGAGGCTGGAGCTGGGATCTGGCCACCACCGCTGGGTGCCCGGGTGGGGGCAGCAGCACCTGGGTGCTGCTTGTCCTGGGGGACACAAGGATCACGGGGGATCCCTGGGGTCCTGATCCCTGCAGTCCATGAGGAAGGTTGGGGCACCTGCCACGGAGACATCCCCATCCAGGCAGCGTGTGGGATGCAGGTTTTGCAGGTCCCTGGACTTTGGGCTGTTTGGTGCAATGCACCCCAAGATAAAAAACCCTTTTTTGACCTCACCTGAGCCCCTCCAGTGCCATTCCCAGGGAGACACAGAGGGGACAGACCTCACTCGCACACCCTGGATGTGCCATCCACAACCAGCCATGTGCACAGCACAGCTGACCCACAGGCCATGGCCGGCAGAGCCCACTGTCCCCTCCACCCACGGTGACCCTGGCCACTGAGCGTCTGGCATCTGTGGCATCCTTGAAACCACTTGCTCTGGGTTGGGGCTCACTCTGAGGCTGCGCTGGGACTGCTATGCCCTGGCTTTGCTCACCTGCTGCCTGATGAGTCCTTGCTGGTGATGGGTGGGCGCAGAGCTGGCACCCAGCGTGGCACCCGTTTAGGGGTGAGCTGGGGAGCCGGGGAGCTGGCCCTGGTGCACAGCTGCTTCCTGAAGGCAGTGATGCTTTTTTGAGGTGGTGATGGGGAGTGGCCGTGGGACTGCCCCCATGCCTACTGGTTCCCCTAGTTGCCCCATGCAGAAGGGGGACAGGGATAGCTGTGCCAGGAGCTACTGTGGGGCCACCAGAGTGTCCCCCTTTGGGACCGTTCCTCCACCTCTTACCCCGCGGCGCGCATCCAAGCCAGGGATGGAGGCAAGACCCTGCTGTCCGCTATGCTGTCCCCGTGGCCACTGTGGCAGGATGGAGGGCCATGCCACAGGGTGCCCATCCCAGTGCCAGTGCCTGCTGACAAGTTACGGCCTCATATGCTCTCTTGCCCCACAGGCATCAGCCGATCCTTGCTCTGAAGACACCAGGAAAGCGCTGCTGTGGATCGAGTTTCGGGCCCCAGAGGCTCTCCACGGGGAGGACCTGCCTGCCCACCTCAGTGCTGGGGCTTGTCTTGAGCCTGGGGCCAGATCCTGCCAGGCTCTGGGAGGCAAGGAGTGGGGAAGAGGGTGCCCAGGGGTGTCTCCTGTCAATAAGCTCGATGCCAAGGTGATGCTCGATGGGTATCGCGCTGGAGGAGCCGTGCTGTGCCCGCAGCTGCATGTGGGGACCCACACAGCCCCATGGGACTTGGCTGCCTCACTCCCATCTTGCTGCTGCATTTGGGGGCTTTGGCTGTGGCTCCCCGCCCCCGCGAGCACGGTCCCAGCAGCTGTGCCTGGTAGCATGGGCTCAGCTGCACACACAGGCTTGTTTATTGTAGGGTCACGCATGCCTGGAGCACCCTGGCAGCGGTGCAGCCCACGCCAGAGCTGGCGTCAGGACGGGTACTTGCACAGGGACTCTGCGCATGTTTTGGGGTGGGTGGGGGGGT